TGTAGATGGTCTGGGGGTGGGGGAGGGAATTGTCCTCTGATACGGACGAGGTTGTTCTAGGTGAGCACAAGCATCACTCGCGCCTTTTACTTCTCCAGACTGTGCTGAGGTCTTTCTCCGCCGCCGCCTGGCTGTGCTTTCCCCCCAATTCCCCCCTCCTGCCGGGTCTCACCCGCACTTTCTAAAGAAAGACTGCGGTTCTGAGGCTCTTCTGCACCCAGTGGAACGGCTCTGCCCAGTGCCGTCCCCCGCGCCGCCGCTAGATGGCGGCATCGCTCAGTGGACGGTTCCCGGCAGCCTGGGCCAGCGCCGCAGCTGCGCCGCTTCCCGCCCTAATCCTGTTGGAGCAGCGTTTAATCTGAGGACGGGACGCCTTGTTCCAGGCCGAGCGGCCTCCTCGTGACTGATGGCTGCACCAGCAACTGGAGCTTTAACTGCTGCTGCCCCTTCCTGCTCAACAAACACCGCAGGTCCCGAAAGGACTGATTTAAAGTCCCAACAATTTAAATGACTTGTTGCTAAAACAAACCAACCCAAAAACCTGGATGTAACAGGCAGAATTTGGGAGCCTCCCTCACCCCATCATTCCTCCTCCTCTGGACTCTCCAACCACTGCATACATCCATTCATCAATAATTACTTATTGTCTGGCCCTGTTTTGCATAAAGTGGGCAATATGTCCTTTAAGGGGGGTGGGGGGGTTACATATTCAAAGTTCTAGAAGCAGATAGTTATGCTAATAGATAATATGTCTTACATATTTCTGGGTGCCAAACGTTGGAGTATATATGACATAGACTATCTCGATTGATTCTTACAGCAAACCTGAGGCCAGCACTCTTACTGTGATCCCCATTTTATTTTATTTTTACTTTTAAAAATATATATATGTTTATTGATTTCAGAGAAGAAAGAAGAGGGAGAGACAGATAGAAACATCAGTGATGAGAGAGAATCATTGGTCGGCTGCCTCCTACACACCCCCTACTGAGGATCAAGCCTGCAACCCGGGCATGTGCCCTTGACCAGAATCGAATCTGGGATCCTTCAGTCCTCAGGCCAATGCTCTATCCAGTGAGCCAAACTGGCTAGGGCTTGACCCCCATTTTAAAAATGGGGAAACTGAGACACAGAGAGATGACCTCACTAAAGGCCGTGCATTTAATTAGTGGCAGAGTTAGAATTCATCCACAGGCCGGCTGAGGTCAGAGCCTAGGCTCCCAGCCACAGTGCTATACAGTGGGCACGTCTGGGAAATCTAACCAGGAGGTCAGCAGATAAGTACATCAGAAGGGGAGGTTGACAGAAAAAAGTAGACAGAAAGATGCTTCTGAGAAAACAAGAATGAGGCTGAAACAGTACCCTCTTTGGACTGGGTCCACCAGGGCACCGCAGGTGACCTCTGTGAGCGCAGTTTCAACAGCCGGGGGGAAAGGAAGCTAACAAATCTAAGGGGCTAAGTGAAAAGAGGAAATTGAGATGTCTTGCTGCAAAGGGAAAGCAATAAATAGACTGGAAGTGACAGCAAGGTCAAGCAAAGACACTTTGGTTTTTCTTGTGGGTTTTTCCAGTAGAATAAAGCTTGGGTGTATTAGAAAACTGTTGCAAGGAGCGGGAAAAGCCCTAGCCGGTTTGGCTCAATGGATAGAGCATCGGCCTGCAGACCGAAGGGTCCTGGGTTCGATTCCGGTCAAGGGCACGTACCTTGGTTGCAGGCTCCTCCCTGGCCTGGGCCCTGGTCAGGGCTTGTGCAGGAGGCAACCAATCAATGTGTTTCTCTCACATCGATGTTTCTCTCGGTCTTCCACTCTCCCTAAAAAAATCAATGGAAAAATATCCTCGGATGAGGATTAACAACACAAACAAACAAACAAAAACGGTTGCAAGGGAGACCTACGGTGTGATGGTTGGTGCAAGTAGTGAAGAGTGATATAGGGAGAGGCCGAGGGCAGGGGCAGGGGGCCGGGGGAAGAGTTAGCACTGGTAGGAGGGAGAGGCGCCTTCCTTTCTGTCTGAAATTGGGAGACACCCACAGACATAGAGATATGTCAAGAGAAATGAGAAGGATGAGCAAGTTCAAGTTATCACATTAGCCTTACTCCTTCCAGTAAAACCAGAGGTGAGTTGCCTGCCAAGAGGGGGAATAGCACATTCACAATGAATGGCCCCTCTGTCTGAAGTTTCTTTGTATTCCGGGGTTGAGATATTTGCCAGAGAAACAGTGTTTTTCTCGTTTGGGAAAACCAAAGTTTTCCTGTTCGGCTTAAAGCCGCAAAGAAAACCAGAATTGGGACTCAGAAGCCTTTCCGACTCAACATCACCTCCATTAACACCATGGATGTAGTGAATGGCCCCAGAGAGTCCCAGACAGAGCACACACTTGGGGAGCATCCAGACCAGGACACAATGGTCCAGAGAACAAGAATTCTCCTCACGTGGCCTTAGGGAATTCTTCCGGGATGATTTGATTGCAACATATCGATAGACCGATGACATGGCATCCTTCACACACCCTGATTATGCATTTTGTTGTTTAATGACTCTTTTCATCCCCAATTAGTATTTCCCTATGGTCAGCACTGGGGCTGATGCAACCGGAAAGGGCATACCGGGTAATTCTTTAGTCTGCTTCCCTGATGAAAATGGCAAAAGTCAACCAATCAGTAATTCTCTTTCAATTAAGACTTGGGAAAGGAAGACAAATGACCGTCACCCATCAAACCCGTTTCTGTCCAGGGTCAGGACTTTCAGACCCTCCTTCTGTGACTGTACATTGTCTAATCGGGAAGCTTGTCTAAGACCGATGGTCTTTAGTTTCTCCCTCTCATCTCCTTTCTGGATATACTCCCGGCCAGACCAAACCCTCTCTTGATTTTTTCTTCTAAAAAGAAATAAAATCGGCCACTTCCTCAGCCACAACTTAGGAATACCAATTCCTCATTCATTCACCCTGCAGTCTTCACATGTTTATTGAGATCCAGCTTTCAGCAAGGCGGAGGGCTCGCCAGCCGGCACACACTGACTCCAGAGGACTGGCGGGCAGAGGAGCTGGGACATGGTCTCGCGTGTCCATAGGAATCAAGGTGTAGCATAGAGAGGAGTCAATGGAGTGTGGGGTCAGCAGGACCTGGGCTTCCCAGGGACAGAGCTGAGCAGGGAGAGAAGAGAAGGTATTGGAGGAGGCAGCACAGGACAGGTGTGAGCGGGAGAGAAGAGAAGAAGGTATTGGAGGAGGCAGCACAGGACAGGTGTGAGGCCCAGCCAGCTGGCTCAGATGAGCCAGGTAACCTCAGGCTCCCCAAGCCTGCAGGAGGCACCTGCCCCATGGGAGAGCCCAGAGCTGCCTGCGGAGCGGAAAGCCCTCTTCACAGACTGCAGGCCTCCTCGTTTCCCACTCGACTAGAGATCTGTATTGTTTGCATCTAAAACCGTGGTCTTTGGCTACAGTCGCTGCCACATGGAGAAGCACCCGGTTTACCCCGTGGCTTCAAACAGCCTCTGGCTCAGGGAGGCCGGAGCCTCCTGCGGACTCGCCTCCTGACGCCCCATGGGGGGTGGACCGAAGGTGCCCGGTTCCGCAAACTCCATGAGCAAAACTCTCAGCTGTGCCCTGGCCCAGCCCACCATCTGGCCCACCTGCCTTCCAGCTCTCTGACTTTATTACTTGACGGCCATGATGAGCCCGCAATGCAGGAACGAGCGCACGTGCTTTCGCAAGCAGTCCGAACTGACCTCTGAAAGTGGGTTGCTACTCACTTGACCCAGAAAACACACACACACACACACACACACACACAACCACACAAATGGAGAGGTTCACATCTCCATGTTCACCTTGGGACACCCCGACGCTGCCAGCCCATCACGGGTGCGCTAATCTGAAAAGCCACCGCGTCTCTGAAACATGTCACTTTACAGCAGCAGCGGGCGCCCCTCCATGATCGGGTGGGTGGGGGGGTGCCCGAGCCCAACAGGGGGGCAGCGCGCAAGGTCGATGGCCCCTAAAGAGCGCCGAGTCCTTGCTGCCCGAGTTGAAAGTGCGGAGGAATGCTGAGCTTCAGAGTTTCCATGTCAGTTCTCAGGCCACTGAGCGGGCTGGGTGCGCACCGCACGCTGCACTCCAGGCTCCGAGAAGCCCTCCCGCGGCCCCCTGCACCCCCCGCCCAGCGAGCCGGTACTTACCGAGGGAGAGCAGATTGCTCCCGGAAGGAAAAGCTATCCCCGAAGAAACAAAAGCATCTGGCCCGGGAATAGATCCAGCATAAAATAAATGCAAGTAAAAGTTAAGAAGAAAAAAAAGATGTTCCAGCTGAAACACCTGGCCTATCGGAGACAGGAGTTACTCCCGCACCATCACCAACCCCCTCCTGCCAAGAGCAATCAGAACTCATGGAGACATCTGCAGCCCCACGGTGAGTCTACGGGCAAGCCAGGAGCTGCGTGGCCACACGGTTAGGAGGAGAGGCCTGTGCCGTCTTACCCGCGCCGGCCCTCGGGGCTCACCCTGACGCGTCCATCAGGGCGCCGGGACTCATCCCTGGAACATCGCCGTCCTTGACACACGGAAGCTGCGCTTGTCCTTGAGGATGAGACAGAGAACAGGCGAGCGCTTCGTCACGAGAGGAAACGCACAATGAGGCCTTTCAGGCCCCCCGCCCCTGATAAGAGCTGGAGACACCTCGCAGACCAGGCCACTGCCCACGCGGAGGATGCCCGCGTGGGTTTCCTCCTTCTCCCGGCCGGGGAGGGAGCCGCGCGTGCTCTCCTGTTGAGGAGAACTGGACCAGCCCCACCGGCTGACCCGGGTCATTGTGTCCCTGCTTTTAACAGCACCCCAAAGCACTCGTATGCTGTGTGTTCTTTTGTCCTTCCCATCTGAGGAGGGGGTGGCTCTCAGGCCTCTAATAGGGAGGGAAACTGAGGCCGGCAGCGTGAGGGGGCAGTTGCCTAGAGCCTCACATGAGGTGATGGACTGGGGTCCCAGCGGTCTGCATCCTCGCCTGCTTTGACCTCCTTGGACCGGCCAGAGTGGTTCTGTGGAGTCTGCCCTCACCTCCAAGGCCACACTTACTCTCTGTGGCCCTCCTTTCTCCCGCCCTTTCCTCCCGTCTCACCTTGTCTCCTCTCTGCCCCTCTCTCCCCACTGCCCTCCTCTCTGGCTAAGTTCGCTGTGGCTGTTCCTTCGTGGCCATGTAGCCAGCAGGGGACAGGCTGAATAAATGCATTGGGCACCGTCCTGCAGTGAGTACTAGGGAGCAGTATGGAGAGAATACAGTCGATGTGTGATACAGAGACGTTCCAGGTCTATTACTAAGTGAAAAACAGCAAGTGCAGAGGGGAATATAGTCTAATTCAATGTATGTACATTTTTTAAAAGAAATATATGCGGGGATAGCAAGTTATTTTTTCTGAAAAGACACTCAAGAAATCATTAAAAGGGGTTTCCTCTGAGGAGAATAATTGGGTGAGAGAGAAAGCTTTCAGCTCTAAAAGTATACATTTATGTATTGTTTGAATTTTCTTACCAAAAGTATTTATTGCTTTCAACTTTAAAAATCAACAGGGATTGCCAGAATAGAGAGTTATAGGTCTTTGCTTTTCTTACACTTTCAAACATAAAAATAAAAAATCAAAATGTTTTTTAAT